TTTATTTTGGATTTTTAAAAAGAGTAAATTTTGGAATGGGAGGTTAACTTTTCACTGTAGTTATTACTTAATCTCTCTCACTGTAGTACATACTGGCATATGATGAATATTATTCTGAAAAAGTTTTGCTTAAAAACTAGATGTGGATTCCTTTTCTCTTAGTATTTCTTTGTCCACGCTCAAGAAGATAGGTTGTAAATTTCAATGAGCCTTTGGAAAGGGAACACTCCATAAAAGAATTGATGTGTCACATCTCCCATTAAGCGTATGTCCTGATACCACAGTTTTCCTTGCTTGTCCTTTTCTTTATGTTGGAGCCTTAAACCACCTGATAAGCACTGGAACAATGTTAACATGTATTGCATCTTGTTTCAGTTTTCTGGCAAGGAACAGACCAATCTTGATGCCAGTGCAATAGCCGTGTTTTGTAATGTCTAGGTCTCTTCTTATTCAATATGGACATTTACCACCTGAAGAGAGTAACTAAAAATTCCATTTTGAGTTGACCTACTAGCATGTTTTATAGATTAAACAGGTGTAGATTATTCGAGCAACATGGAAAATATGCTCTGTTTCTATTACTGAAGATATTAGCGTGCAAGTAGTGTAAGAGCAGAGGAGTTAAAAAGACCTAGTACCTCCTTCTCCAGTCCAAACCTGATGGTTTTTCTTTTCTTCTGAGTGAATGCACATCCACATGCATCTAAGCAGCTGAAACTGAAGCTTTTACTCTTTATAACATTGTTTTTAGTGCTGCCCTGTTCATAGTATATGCAATAAACTCAGTATGAAGAGACATTGAATTGCCAATCTTGCCTTCAGCTCAAAATTTCTGGAAACCTTAAACAAAGTAAAGCACCGTGCTAGGACCCATTGAATGTGTCACAGTTTGGGTATGTCTTAAAGTGTATTGAGTGACTGATAAAAACCAATACTTTTCTAATAAATAAGTACATATAAACAAAAAAACAGTCTTCAGTACTCTGTCATAGAGGAGACCATAATATTGAACAGTGATAAGCTACCTTGCTGTTCATGGTTTTGATTCTTTTTGTTTCTGAGGTTTCTTTTTTAACAATTAGGATTGAGAAASAGGTTGAATATTACTGGATTGGATTACTGGAAAAGAATTCTCTGATGTTTGTCTGTGGGAATGGACAAGATAAGAAACCAGTGGAGGAAATTTTGGTTGTTGGAGAGGCTTTTGTCTGCTCTTTCTTTGTCATGGTAGTAACTTAGAAGATTAACAATTGCTTCTAAAAGTCCCTTTGGCAAATGGACTCAAGCTATTGCTTTTCTAACTTTCAGTTTTCAGAATGCAAATCAATATGTCAAAGTAGTTTCAAGGCTTACAAAACCAAATGTTTGCATTCAGTTCTAGAAAAGGAAGGCAATTGTCTTCCAAAAAAAAAAAAAAAAAAAAAAAAAAAAAAAAAAAAAAAAAAAAAAAAAAAAAAAAGCCACATCAACATCTGAAAGTCTTTAAAAATTCTTGTAATTTCTAAAGTTTTGCTTTTGAAATGAGATGCATTTTTCACATTCCTGCACTGACAAGTCAGCATTACTACGCATCATCAACGGTGATGAAAGCACTTTTCTCTGTGTCCTTGGGCTGTACTGGTGAGATACTAGAGGAAAGATGTTCTTSTTAACAAATCATTTTTTAAGGGCACATAGATTTCAGTCATATGGTAATGTCAACTCGGAGCAAGAAGGATAATGTAGTAATTGTTGCAGGGAGAAACTCAGAGATCTAAATTATACAGAGAGCCCTATCCCTGGGATGACACACTCTTAGTCTGCTGATTAATTACTTTGGCCTCAAAACCAGATTATGGTTCCACAGGAGCTCTAGCTTTGATATAGGAGCAAGTATGCTTCTAGCTATGTGACTATAATTAAAATGTTTTGAAAATATTTTGATTTTCACCCCTATTGATGGGTTTTTCTGATAATTGTAAATAATCTCATTCATTTGGTTTGATTTAGTTTTGGAAAATATAGATGTTGATACTGTTAAATCTAATGAGTTTAAGAAGGTTGACCGCTTATTAAATTTATCAACTTTAAAATAAGCCAAATTAGAACATAATTTTGCCACTTCTGGAAAGGGTAATAAAAAAAWTTTTATAAATACATTAATAGCAAAAGGAGGAGCAAGGAAAATCTCCATTCTTTATTGGATGTGCAGGGAAATATAATTACCAAAGATGAGGAAAAGGCTGAGTATTTGAGACCTTCTTTGCCTCAGTTTTCAACAATAAGACTGGTTGTCCTCAGGAAAAATTTATTTAAGAGAAGCACCCTTATAAAATAAGAAGATTAATCCTTGTCCTAACTACGTATTTTAAAACATAAATGTTTCACCTGTTGATTTTATTCAGGGTGTATAAACAAGGGGATTATTGACTGGTGCTGCTGTTTCCCTCTGTTGTATAAATCCTCCTCAATTCAAAGACTATTTATCTGAAAGATAAGTACAAAGGCAAGATAAAAGATATTTATCTGAAAGGGGCTCTAAGAGCACCTTAGGTCTGCTGCAGCCTAGTGTGCTGCAGTTACCACACAGGGCAAAAAGTCTACCCACTAATAAAGAAACACTGTTTGCAGGGAAAATTTACTGAACCTTGTTAAGGAGAAGTTCCTCTCAACTGAACATTTCTCTCAGATCCACAGGAATAATTTTTTTTTTTTTTTTTTAAACAGTTAGGATTGGGAAAGAATAGGGAAGAAAGGTAGAGAGCTCTAAAAAATTCCTTTGCATGTAGGTTCAGGGGCTGTTTTTTCAGAGGAGAGGAGGTTGTTTGTTTGTTTGATGTGGTTTTTTTCTCTACAGTTTTAAAGCCTTAGAAATGTCATTTAAAGGGAAGCCATACTATGGAAGTACATCCAGAAGCAAGTCACGTTACAGGCTCAGTTAGGCAGTGTAATATCATTCATTACACATGCTTGAAAAGATTCATTCATGCCAGGATTCAAGATGGATTTTTTTGTTTTTCCTCAGGAAACAAAGACTACCACTTTTCAATTCTTTTTTTTTTTTTTTTTTTTTTTTTTTTTCCCAACCTGAAATTGGAAGCAATGCTACAAAGGGACCTCAAAATTCAATAGTTATTGCAACTATTGATCAATGAACTGCAAGGGAAAACATTTCAAGGGATGAACTGGATCCTGAAATTTAAATTCCTAGTTTGCTGACAAAATAAATGTTTTGTTAAATTCTTACTGCAATCACACGAGGAAGGCAGCTCCTAATAATAATAACTAGTTCCTAAAAATATGTCAATTAAAGGAGGCAACAATTTTGCAATAAATCTCTCTCACTCTTTGGGATACAATACAGGTGACTGAAATTCTCAAGACTGATAGAAATTTCTGATGGGCACTGACTGATTCATTGATACAATTTCACCATTTGTTTGACCAGGACCATTTTCAGAGATCGTGTAATAATAAAAATCACACCAATAAACTCATAGCTGTGAACTTCAAAAAGTCATTTTCTGCTGGTCAAAAATTATCCATTTTTCTTGTTTCCAGATCTGGAGACCTTTGCCTGATGTTCTTGACTTCCTAAGTAAGTGTCAGATTTTTATTATTGATCAGGGATTTATTTATTTCTTTTTGATCAGGAATTTTTACTMTTTTCTCTGACCAATTGTTAAAAGCCAAATCATACACAGTCTTTTGGAGCAAACCTGATACATATTTTTATGTTACTAAGTTAGGAATTAAAAATTAATAATTTCCCTGGAAACCTTGCTAGATATTTCTATCGTATTCCAATATTTATTAGTATTTTAAATTTATTAAAATAAGGATTGCATTAAGAGGGTTTTTAGTTAAAAAATGAGAGGTTAACACTTGTTTTCTTTAGATGACATCTAGAAATTAAGTGACTTGTTTTCATTTTACCCAAAACCTACAGCAAAGGGTTCTGACAATATTTTTTCACTTTGGGGTGTTTGTAATTTAGAGTCTGGCTTAAACAAATGCCATGGGATGGGGGTTGCCAACATGACAACTGAATACYCCATCTCTTATCCTCTTTTTACTAATAAATCAGTTTTGGTGGCCTCTTAATAAAATCCAGCCTTATGTGAATTCCATTTATCTCCATTAAATTAATACAGTGGTAATAGAAGCAAGTTTTAAGCACCATATGATTTTCAGCATCAATTAACTCAGATACTCCCTGTACTTGTGCAACTTTTAGACATGTACATATTCTAATTTTGTCTCTTGAGCTAATATATTGATACTCCTATTTTAAAGTAAAATCATGCCTCTTCATTTATTTTTGGCAGAGCAGAATGTACAAAGTAAATGGGAAGGGGTCCATTTCAGAATTTTGTGTTTCCCTTTCATTATTACAGAATGYACTGAAGTTGCTACATTTTATTCAGAATCCTGCAGAAACTGATCTGAAATGAAAATGTGAAACTTGGAAACTGATCCTGTGGTCTGAGTCCTACAATCTTTAGGTTGTACAACACCAGAATTATCCCTCAATAATGGCAGGAATACTGCACAAAAAGGACATCGTTCACCTACTGAACCCATTAAAAAAAATTCCATTAAAAGGCAAACCTGTGTAGTTAAAACAGAATAGTTTTTTCTTCCAAATTAGGGCTGCTAAAGTAGGCTCAACTTTGCAGCTAAAATAAAATKATTTAATCCAACACCACATGAAAGGAGAATGTCAGCAATTAAGTGAGACTAGAAAGCTTTGTTAGTGAAGAAATGCCTGGCTGGAGCTTGCCCTCTGAGGCTTTACAAGGGAAACAGTCATTTATTTAGGCAATCACTTGACAAAATACAAAAGAAATAAACTGATAATGGATTGGCACTTGAGGGGAACCAAAGGCTTTTAATGAAACTGCTCTGGACCACCCTCCTCCTCCTAAATATTAAGCTCTCTGAAATGTAACCTTCCAGTAACCTTGCTGGGATGCATGGCKCTGTGATTCACCAGGACACCCCCATTCTTCTCTTTTCAGGCTCCTGCTCACATGGCTCAGGCAGTGCCAGAATGGCAAGTGTTAGGGAGCAGAACAAAGCTGTGATTTTCAAGACAACTGAGGGGATAATACAGACGAGAGTGAATGCAGAACTTCCTGCACCTTTGAGAATGGCAGATGTGGCTGGCAAAATTCCCTGGCTGACAGTTTTAACTGGGTGCTAGGGGTCAGTTTGCCTCACAGCCTTAACCTCCCGGGGACCACACGCTTGGAAACAGAGYTGGTACACTGTTAGCTCACAAAAAAGATGAAATTGTCTTCACCAAATGTCTCATGCCTTCACGGGCAGCAGGGGAGTTCTAACATGTCTAATAAGGATGTCATCTTTAATGAATATGATGTGTTACAATATAAAAATATTAATTACCATTGTACCATAACTTTAATTTCAGAAAATTGAATCTTAGTTGTTTCTCATATGAGTCAGGCAAGATAATTTGATACTTGTCTGGAGAGAGACTTTTGGTCTGGCTGCAATTTGCAAGGGTGAGTTAGCTCAGCTCTGAGATCCACTGGGTCCYACTCCTCCAGAGCTTGAGGTCATTTCCAGGAAGCTACAGTTTCCCATAGTGACTATTCAAACTTTAATTTTAGGTAATGTTAAATAAATAAATTTAAATAAACAAACCCCTTTTGTTAGTGCATCTGCTGGTTTCTTTTGGCCAAAGCACTGAGTTATCTGCTCTTGTTCTTGCTACAAGTTCTGTGCCTTCATCCTTTGTTTTTGAAGGTCCTATGGCTTAGGCAAAAATGTTACCAAAGCTGAGCTCAGAATGGACCTTGAAATAATTCACAGCAGAGTTGCACAAAGGCATGATGGTATTTGTTGAATGTTTACACAAACTGCTGAAGGACAAAACCCCAAAAACTTGAAAATATGTAGAAAAAAGATAATTCATTTGCATTGTATAATAATATATATTTTTATAGTATTATCACAAATACATCTCTGCACTTGTTAAACATATGCTTGACCTCAGAGAAAAAGCAAATTTCTTATCCCATAATACTATGGCAAACAACTATGGTTGTACCTTAGCCAGAGAAGTGTCAAAGTTAGAATTAATTTATTTGTGTATGCAGCCTGTAGTGAAGTACAATTCTTTTGCCTAATTCATATGCAAACAGTAGAWGTGCAATTATAACTTGTGTTATTTATACTGTCTTTATGTTTATGTGAAATATGCATTTCTTATTTTTACAAAGGAAGAAAATGAATTGAAAACYTGTGAGAATTTTTTACGCTTCTGATTAAAAATAAAGACAGAAGACTTAAGAGCCATATCAATGTTGAAAAATATTCATGCCTAATATCTAGACATTTATTTTTGCAATTTACTCTGACTAAATAATTTATATGTGCATTAATATTCATATAGAGTAAAAATGACCAAAGGTAACATGAACCATTAGGGATACTTAATGATTTATCAATGCATAAAGTTTTTTTTTTTTCTGTTTCACAAGTTTTATATAGTATGGCTTGCTATTTTGAAGATTACCTTTCAGGAAATGTTATCCTGAAATTTATCACGGTGTGGCTATTGTATGATGTACTGTCAGAATAGCAACTACTCCTGTCCAGCAGGGACATGTAATCAAAGCAGGGAAACATGGACATCTCCCCAGTCTGCTGCACTGGCCCATCCAAATCCTAAGCTGCTACCACCAGTTTATTCCTGAAATAAGAAGTGCATAAGGAATGTGATCTGATAATTATTACCCTTAAATTGAGATTGACTAGTGTGAGACCTATGAGGGAAGCGTACTTCATATGTCCCTGCATTTACTTTGCTGAGTTTTGGAATCTAATTTGAAAATCTAAAACATTTTTTTCAGCAATATATAATTTTGTTTCAGGACAATTTCTATATATCACTGCAATAAGCCAAATAAATGAAAAAGCCCACGTGAAGTGTTCCATATGGAAAGAATCAAGTGGGACTTGTGTGATGAGCTTCTGGTACTTCAAATCATCAAAACCCATGGGACATATTCAGATTCTGATTAAGGTAATAAAAATCCCCTTTTCTTTTGAATATATTGTATCTGTAAGGGTGTTCATGCTCCCACAGGGTGCTTCAGCACTGTGACATTCTGTTGTTTAGCTGATAGACTGGAAGAGCTCCYACACACCTCCTGCTTCTGTGCTGGTTTTCATTACTCCAGTCTCTCAAAAATGCTTTTAGCATTTCTCTTCCAAGAGAGGCTTCTCTGAAAAGCCACAGAAAATCTTTTAAAACCCTCTTTCCATTTTCCACTCTTCGCATAGAGTACCTTTCTCTTTGATATTCTCCATGTGAAGCTATTTTCACATTTTGCTGCTATTCTTATCGGTAGCTATCAGTATACAGCCCTATTGTACTGATGAGATGACACAAAAAAAAAAGAATTAACAAGCACAAAGTGAGAATAAAATGTAAAAATATTACTTCATTGACTAATTTATATTTTTATATAAATAGGTACAGAGTACATAATCAATTTTACTTAGAARTATCTTTTTCTTCACTAAGTGTGAGATGACCAAAATATCATTTAACAAGCCTATCTAGTTATTAATTTGCAAATGAAAGCATTTGTAAAAAATTGGCTKCTCCTTTGTTGTTCATTAAAAAGGATTAACTGCTTGTAAAAGCAATTTTTAAATCATGGTATGGTTCTGACTAGAAATTAATTCATATGTAGAAATTAATAATTAGTATTTTTCACACACAATGACCAAATATGTCACTTCTAGAATACTAGAAACCTTTGCAAAAGACAGTGAGTGTATTTGTGCTTAYTTGCATCTGTGCAGGGAGTTCTGGCTTTTCAAGTATAAATCGTGGTGTAATTTTTTTGGAATGTCTGTTACCTTCTCTCTACAATATGTCTAATAATGCCTTGGTAAACTGCATTAAYGTTTCTGTTTCATCTCCAATGCATATGTTGATTGACTTTAAATGACAAATTATATTTTTTCCTTGAAAATAAATTACTAAAAATTATTTCTGCAATATTCTGGGTACTATAAAAATATTTTTAAAGCATGAAAAATAGCATATTTCAATACTTTACTATCTAGACATAGAACCTAAGATATGTCTGCCTGAAATATAAAAACAATGAACTCTTTGACAAGCATTAGATTTTTTTCCTCAATTAAAGCAAACACCTACAAATGAAAACAGATCACTGATCAAGTAACTATAGTTAATGAAATGTATTTATACAGGTATTTTTCCTAGAAAGGCACAAATCTGTAAAAGAAGCAAGTGGATTAAAGAAAAATAATAGTCGTTGTTTGAAAATAACTTTCAATTGCTAATATATTAAAAAACAAAACCAAAAATAGATCCCAATAAATGAAATAAATACAGAAACAAATATTTATCTKAACTCAAAGGTCAGATTATGTTCTCATTACATTTATGCACTGTGTAACTTATAGCAACCAAATACTGTAGTTATAAACATTTTAGGATTGCTTAATTTTAGTTATAAGCTAACGTTCAAACTAACTTTGGCAGAAAATAAATACTAGTTGCATCAGGCATATGTGGGTGATTTGCATGTAGTATTTGTGTCATTGTTGATTGTGTTCAGTAATTATTTTTTCCACCCTCAGGATGGACAAAGTGTTTTAATTTATTTTTTCTTTCTATATTAACCTTAGCAGAGGTTTACTAGATAGTTATCCCTATCATAATAACCTGTAGGGATTATTTTCTACTGTACTAAGATTCAAATAGATGACTTTTATGGATTTTTTTTATAAGACAATCAGTAAAATTTCCTTTTTCTAGGTTTTAGGAATATTCTTTATGTTTTCTTTTTATTTTATTCTTATTATATTGAGGCATTGTCCTCTTCTCATTTTCACCTTGTTTTATTATCCTAATAAACTTTCAAGACATTATTTTAATGTTATTTTAAACCCTTGTCTCCAGGGAGCTTGAAGATATTTTTAAAGGCAGTGTGAATAGAAGATGTTTGAGTCATGATTTATCCATTTTTTTTTCTTTTAATGAATGCTAGAATTCTACCTGAATATAGGAAAATTTATTCTCATTATTGCAGATTTTTTTGCAGATCAGCTTAAGTTTACATCTTATGCTACTTATAAGGATCCATAAGTGAATATTTTAATCRGAGTTTCCATTTAGCAGTGTCTGTAAGAATAAAATCTAATTAAACAACACATAGTGATGGGAAGCCATACTGAAGCTTCTCCTGCTGGTTTGAACTGCAAGACCTAGATAATTCTATCCAGATTGAGTATACCTTGATTTAAAATGAAATTAGATCTGTAGGTAGTGATTAGTTGAAAATGCAAGGAAGAGGAGATGATCTGGGAAGTAATTGGCATCTCAGGTTTAAAAACTTAGCAAACTGTTTGTGGCTGAAGTTATCCCGTCCATTGAAAGTTAAACTGACAGTGAAGAYTGTGTCTACAGTGGCAAAGCAATGAGCAAAAAGATGAGAAAATATCTAAAGGCAGAATGAGGAAGACATTTCTCTTCTTCCAGAATTATCCCAGTGGAACAAAAATGGTAATCAAGAGTAAAAAGCCATTTTTAAAAATAACATAGGTCATGGTATRCATTAGGGTCTTTTCTTAATATTTGCTTTGCTTACCAGGAAGCCTAAGAATATTATCTATCATACAGTATCTCAGATTATGAAATAAACAAGAACTAAAACATCATAAAAGGGGTACTGTAGCCAAGCATGGACTTTTTTTGTTAAGGTTTGCAGCTAGAGAAAATAAATACATTTTCCTAATGGAATTTCTCTGAAGTTACTCTTGTTTTGATTTTTTCCTCTTGAAATTGTACTATGCATTCTTTCAAGAAAACCCTCTGCATATTGAATAATAATAATCTAGTCAAAGTGATGGGCTGTTGAACTAGCTGTAAACATATGGTATTCTTCAAACTGACCCCCTCAACATTTATGCAAACAAAAGATGTTGACAGTGCAGCCATTTATGAAGACTGAAATACCCAACTCAACACCCATCTAAATTCAAAGTTTTTAACAGCAGTGTGAAAGCAAACAGAATATTCCCTGAAGAGATCGAGATATAACTAATCAAAATTTTTTACAGTGAGATTTGATATATTCTATTCTTGTCTGTGGCAGTTGTAAGGGATTTCCATCCACTGTAGGAGATGTTTCAAAAATCGAGTGCAGCACATTCACTGTGCCTGTTTTCGTGGTGATGGTGGGGCACCTCATCAGCCATCAGTGATGGTTTATTTTATGAGTCAGAAGAAACAGTGTATTTTTAAGCACACTTTTAGAGTGGAAAGAAAGAATTAATTGGTAAAAAGGATAATGCATTTTATTATTCTGCTGATGGAAACACAAGTTTTCTACTACTGCATAAGTTGTCTCTGCCATAAAAGARGAAACAAGGCCTAGGTAATACAGGAGGAAAGGAGCAACAAAGAATAAAACCATTTGTGGAAAATCATTTTTGTGGTATCAATGTTAATTGCTTTGCAATTAGACATTTTAATTTTAAARGATAATTTATGATCTAGTATAGTTAAGGGAATAGTCTTTCAAAGATTTGAAACAAGCCTCTAAAAACAGATGAATAAGGAAGGTGAAACCTGTCATTAGTAACTGCCTCTGACTGTGACAAAGCCAATACACACAGGATCTCATTAGGAAGTTCCAGTGGACCTTACCCAGGCATTTAATTAATTCCATCCAATTACAGAGGAGCACAGACATATTCAGGAAGACAAGAAGTTCAGGCCAGCTCATGGCACATGAAGCAGGGTCCCATTTACACTGTGGCATCAACAGCCCAACCTGGCCAGGGCAGCAGGCAGCTGGACCAGCATCCAGCCTCCCCCAGCTGCTCAGGCTGRTGCTGCACAGACACTGTCACCTGGCTGCTGCTCCTCAGCAAAAGCTGGAACCCATCACCATAGTCCCTTGTTGCTTTTAACCAGCCCAATGCAGAGAGGAGAGGGTTGGTGATGTAGAAATGTGCGGCTTAGGAAGCGCCACATCTCAGCTGTGGATGATTCACGGTGGATTTTCTAATTCCCTGGTTGTTTTTGGTGGAGCACTCTACTACCCCAGGCTGTCCATATGGAAATCTGCATCAGAGGTGCTGCAGATGCCTGCTAGTATATGCTGGACAACTGTATTTGTAGGATCAACTAGTTTAAGTGACATTTTCACAAATCAATATCCTAGACCATAATATCCTAGACCCTACTTCTGYGGAAAGTCACTCAAGAATGAGGCTTAAGGAAACAGCTTATTCTGCCTCACAGCATAAAATAGAAAGTGTATTTTTACATTGATCCTTCTCACTGAGTGCATGAAAAACAATCGACTCTTCACATTAATGTAGAAATGAGAGACTGCATTGGGATCAGGTAGCCTCAAAGCAGATTGTCTGATCRCCACAAAACTAGGGGAAGAAACTAAATTTTCAGAGATTTGCTTGAATGCTTTACTTAGGAGTTTGATGAACTTCAAATCATGCTTCAAACAATGCAGAATATGTGTAGATTTAATAAACATGGAAATAATGTTTATTCTGTAGACAAAATTAAATAATTAGCAACATTCTTTAAAACTGATARCAAAGTGTAAATTTTCCAAGTATTTGGTTCCACATAGCAGCATAGGAGTAATGGACTTTATTTAATGACTCTCTACAGCTCTCAAAAGGACACAGTTTTAAACAATTTGCTCCTGTTACTGACCTGTGAACTRTTATTAAAACTCATATTTGAGTCAATGAAATGTCTGATCTGACTAATGAGTGAGAGTCAGGGAATATTAGTCCCAAGAGTCTTCAAGGAAATGAGTGAAGATACTGTGAAATACAGTAATAATTATGAAAGGTAACTTTTATGGCATCTTTACTTCCCAGAGAAAGATAATTTTTTGTTTGTGTTTCCTGAATGTCTGACAGGGTTTTCCATCTTTTTAGATATTGTTTCAAACAGGGTTGTTTTAGGCCTGGTTTTGCCACAATGACATGAGCATGTTTCCG